AGAGAGGCAACAACAACAACAACAACCCACACTGAATTATTTACCATTTCTTAAGCAGTGAAAGTTAAAACATGGCAACACCGAACAAAGTCCTTCACAAACAGTGTTGAAGCTTTGTTATTTTAAATCAATCAATGTGTCCCTCCCTCAGTTCCTGCCTTTCTCTTCCTATCTGTCTCTCTTACACACGCAAATTCACAAGGGGATTACTTACCAATTTCAATGTGAACTTACAATTGTATGTGAAAAAATAAGATAACTTGGAAATAAATGGAATTTAAAATAAATTTCTGTAAAAAGCATAAAGATAATATGGCAAAGGCAAATCAAATCTATAATTAACTTTGGGAATTATAATTATTAGAAAATAAAAATATACCCTTATAAAAAGTTTTAGGAACATCTATAAAGTGATTAAGTATATGTTACAGTTCAACTTAATAAAGAATTGCTGAAAATATCTACATTTTGTCTAACAAAGTGATATCCACAGCATTTTTAGACAACAGGGGAAAATATCTATAGCTAGAGAAAGCTGGAAAACATTATGATCCTATACTGAATGCATGAGTGCTGAATTGAACAATAAAGCAGCTGTTTCATCTTTATTCAGTGAAATAAAGTCTGATGTTACTGCTGATGACACCCAATACAATCTTGTCAGATTTTTGGCAAAAAAGAAAAAAAAGGTATTTTTTAACTTTGCTGCAGGATCAAAGATCAATGTTGAACTGGGTGGAAAACAATCATCAAATGTTGGGTTATAGCCACAAATTGAGAAGGAAATTGCAGCTTGGGAAACAACACATGATAACTGTAATACAGCTGCATCAGACGGTAAATCTGGAGGGGCTGGTGAAGCTGCAGTGCAGTGTAGTGTTACTCTCACCAGCACAACAACCACACTTCTAAAAGATCCAATTTTAAGTCTCACCCAACCTATATTAATTATTTAATACTACTTTGAATGTGAGTAAATATTCCAATCAGAACATACGTACATTATCTAGGTAATATAATCAATCAAGTTATGAAATAGATGGGAAAAGTAAATATTTTTTAATATAGCTTATTGTCAAATTGGTTTCCATACAACACTCAGTGCTCAAGGCAAATTATTTTAAAAGTTGCTACTTAAGCTAAGTAAAAGGACAAGAAAGCTGAAAGTGAAAAAATGAAAAGATTAAATATATTGTGGGCAACATTACAATGTACAGTAGCTGCTTTCATATTAAGTATTTAGTAAAACTGATAGTATTTATACAAATCTAAATAGGAAATACCTTCTTAAGACCAAGATGAGAACAGTCCAACATACTGTTAAGTTTTGATGCATTTAAAATTACTCAACTATAAAATATGGGAGTGGAGTTCCTTTTAGGTTGTAGTATTTAGTGATTCCATAATCCCTTGAATTTCTTGGTCATCATTTATAAACCTAGAATTTGACTAAGTATTCCAAAAAAGTACAACCATGTTCAGACTCATAATATATTAGAGAAAAATTATGTTATGCATGGTGTGATACTTTAATTCAAGCTAAAGTAGCTGAAAGATGAGATTCATGAAAGCTATAATACTGGTAATATCCAACAACAAACAAAACAATCTTTTGGGTGACTCAAACTGGGTCATTTTCACATGGGCAAAGAGACATTAAAAGAGCCTAAGTGTCCATCAACAGATGAATGGATCAAGAAGATGTGGTTTATCTATACCATGGAATACTCCATGGCAATGAGAAAGAATGAAATCTGGCCATGTGTAGCAACGTGGATGGACCTTGAGGGTGTTGTGCTGAGCGAAATAAGTCAGGCAGAGAAGGACAAATATCATATGTTTGCACGTATAGGAGGATTAGGAGGAACTTGACGGAGGAACAAGGGGGAGAAGGAGGGCGGAAATGGTGGGGGAAA